GAGCCAGGCAGTGTAGCAATAAGGGAGCGAGGCAAATGGCCTGCCTCTAGCATTTGACATCATGCAGCAGGACACAGCTGGGGACACCAACTCCCTCAAGTAGTGCAGAGATTTCCAGAGAGCTCAGTTATACCTAAAAGTGCTGGTGACGGCACAGTCACAGTTCCTATCACTCTGTCATGTCTTCTGTGAGAAGCCCAGAATGAATGTCACAGATCATGCCACAGTCATGATCCACTCCAGAGGATTTGAGGGTGACAGTTGTTTCCAAGGCATGGGAGAACCTGTGTATTGGACATCTGTTGCAAAGAGAAAAAGTGACTACACAGGGATGACCAACTTGTAGAGACTTCCCTGCTCATAGTTTCTAGAGACATATGCTGAGTGGTATTTACTGGTCATTAGCTCAGATACCTCTGAGAGATTCTGCCTAAACTACTATAAATCTCTTATTTGAGCAGCGAGTAGATAGCCATGAATATTCATGAGAAAAGAAATGCTGGTGTGTGTTTCTGAAAATAAAGATCAGCAAAAGGCCAAAAAGTTCAAAATGTAGCTACATGTCCACCAGAGTATGGCTGACAAATATGCCCCACACACCCTTCCTGGGCCCCTGGCAGACATCAGTAATCAGTCATTGCAGATATCACTGCTGAGGCTGTCTGTGACTGCAGAAATTCTTCCAGATCAAGACTCGAGGGAGCCACTAATCCATCCTTCAGACTTGACTCTCCTACAAAAGTTTTGCCAACCTTGGCCTAGTTTCACCAATTAGTTAGGGACACCGTACTATTTTTAGCTGTATTCTCTCCTCTTCCTCCTGCCACCTTGCCTCAAGTTCCAGCCCTCTTTTCTCAGGGAATCCTTTATACACTTCACTCTTTGTGACCTTCCATGGTCCAAAATAACCTCAAAGATAAACTTGCCCAAGAGGCACTGTCACAGTTAGGGATGACATTAAGTACAGGCATACCTCAGAGACACTGCAGGTTTGATTCCAGACCATCACAACAAAGTGAATAATATAATAAAGCAGGTCACACACTTTTTTTGGTTTTCCAGTGCATATAAAAATTACGTTTACACTATACTGTAGTCTTTTAAGTGTGCAATAGCATTATGTCTAAAATAGATATGCTTTAGTTTAAAAGTACTCTATTGCTAAAAAATGCTAACAATCTGAGCCTTCAGCACATCTTAATCTTTTTGCTGGTGGAAGGTCTTGCCTCTTTTGACAGCTGTTGACTGATCAGAGTGGTGGTGCTGAAGGTTGAGGTGACTGTGGCAATTTCTTAAAATAAGACAATAATGGACTTGTTGATGAACTCTTTTACAAAATATTTCTCTGTAGTATGCAATGCTATTTGATAGCATTTTACTTACCCACATTAGAACTTCATTCAAAATTGGGAGTCAATCCTCTCCAACCCTGCCACTGCTTTATCAACTAAGTTGATGTAGCATTCTAAATTTTTTGTTGTAATTCCAACAATGTTTACAGCATGTTCACCAGGAGTAGGTTCCATCTCAAGAAACCACTTTCTTTGCTCATGTATAAGAAGCAACTCCTCATTCATTTAAGTTTGGTCATGAAACTGCAGCAATCCAGTCACATCTCCAGGCTCCACTTATAATTTTAGTTATCTTGCTATTTCCACTATATCCGAGGTGACTTCTTCCACTAAAGTCTTGAACTCCTCAAAGTCATCCATGAGGGTTGGAATCAACTTCTTCCAAACTCCTCTTAATGTTGATATTTTGGCCTCCTCCCATGAATCAAAAATGTTCTTAATGGCATCTAGAATGGTGAATCCTTTCTAGAAGATTTTCAATTTATCCAAATCCATCAAAGGAATCACTACCTATGGTAGCTATAATTGTATAAAATGTATTTCTTATATAATAATATTTAAAAACCAAAATTACTCCTTGATCCGTAGATTGCAGAATGGATGCTGTGTGAGCAGGCAGGGAAATAACATTAATCTCCCTGTACATCTCCATCAGAGCTTTTGGGTGACTAGGTACATCATTAATGAGCGGTCATGTTTTGCAAGGAATCTTTTTTTTTTCTGAACTGTAAGTCTCAACAGGGGGCATAAACTATCCACTAATCCATGCTGTAAACGGATGTGCTGTCATCCAGACTTCGTCATTCCATTTCTAGAGCACAGACAGAGTAGATTTAGGATAATTCTTAAGGGTCTTGGGATTTTTGTAATGGTGAGTGAACACTGGCTTTAATTTAAAGTCACCAGCTGCATTAACTCATAACAAAAGAGTCAGCCTGTCCTTTGAAGGCTGACTTGAAGCCAGGCCTTGAGTTCTCCTTTCTAGCTATAAAAGTTCTAGATGGCATCTTCTTTCAATAGAAGGCTGTTTTATCTACACTGACAATCTGTTGTTTAGTGTAGCCACCTTCATCAGTTATCTTGGGCTAGGTCTTCTGGATAACTTGCTGCAATTTCTACATCAGCATTTGCTACTTTACCTTGCACTTCTATGTCATGGAGGCAACTTCTTTCCTTAAACCTCATGAACCAACCTCTGCTAGCTCCCACCTTTTCTTCTGCAACTTTCTCATTTCTCTCTGTCTTCAAAGAATTGAAGAGAGATAGGGCCTTACTCTGGACAAGGCATTGGCTTAGGGGAATATTGTGACTGGCTTGATTTTCTATCCAGATCACTCAAACTTTCTCTATATCAACAATAAGACTCTTTTGCTTTCTTATCATTCATGTGTTCACTGGAGTAGCACTTTTAATTTCCTTCAAGAACTTTTTCTTTGCATTCACGACTTGGCCAACTGTTTTGTGCAAGAGGCCTTGCTTTCAGCCCACCTTGGCCTCCCACATGCCTCCCACTAAGCTTAATAATTTCTTCCTTTTGATTGATAGTGAGAGATGTGGTGGGGCATGGTAGCTTATGCCTGTAATCCCAACATTTGGGGAGGCCAAGGTGGGTGGATCACTTGAGGTCAGGAGTTCGAGACCAGCCTGGCCAACATGGTGAAACCCTGTCTCTACTAAAAATACAAAAATTAGCTGGGTGTGGCGGCACATGCCTATAGTCCCAGCTACTTGGGAGGCTGAGGCAGGAGAATTGCTTGAACCTGAGAGGTGGAGGTTGTAGTGAGCCGAGATTGCACCACTGCACTACATATAGCCTGGGCCGCAGAACAAGACTCCATCTCAAAAAAAAAAAAAAAAAGAAAAAGAAAAAAGAAAATTAGATGTGTTCCTCTTCCTTTACTTGAATATTTAAAGGCCATTGTACGATTATTAATTGTCCTAATTTCAATATTGTTGTGTCTCAGGAAATAGGGAGGGCCAAGGTAAGGGAGAGACAGGGGAACAGCCAGTCAGGGGAGCAGTTAGAACACATACATTTATTAAGTTCTCCATCTTATATGACTCCCCAAAACAATAAAACAGTAACATCAAAAATCACTAATTGGCCGAGCGCAGTGGCTCATGCCTGTAATCCCAGCACTTTGGAAGGCTGAGGTAGGTGGATCACTGGAGGTCGGGAGTTTGAGATCAGCCTGACCAACATGGAGAAACCCCGTCTCTACTAAAAATACAAAACTAGCCGGGCGTGGTGGCGCATGCCTGTAATCTCAGCAACTTGGGAGGCTAAGGCAGGAGAATCGCTTGAGCCTAGGAGGCAGAGGTTGCAGTAAGCTGGGATCACGCCATTGCACTCCAGCCTGGGCAACAAGAGCGAAATTCCATCTCAAAAAAAAAAAGAAAGAAAGAAAGAAAAAGAAAAAATCACTGATCATAGTTCACCATAACAATTATAATAATGAAAAAGTTTGAATTACGGTAAGAATTACCAAATGAACACATGCTGTTGGAAAAATGGCACCAGTAGACTTGCCCGATGCCAGGTTGCCACAAATCTTCAATATGTTAAAAAAAAAAAAAAAGCAGTAGACAGTATCTAGGATGTGCAATAAAGGGAAATGCAATAAAACAAGGTATGCCTGTATATCGAACAACTGGTTCAGCCCAGGTGTTGATCAACGAGAATTGTTCTCTGCCTATAAACAGCCATGAAGACAGCCATGCACACAGAGCGCGTTACCTTGGAGAAGCATGGCAGCCAGCCAGAGAGTTGGCATTTGCAGGCAGCATTCGGAAGATATGCTGACTTGTATACTCGATAAAAACAGAACTGTCTGTAAATGCTAAAGGACTTTTGATTCAGTGCAACTGCTTCGTGTGGATTTATGGACTTCACACTGACAGTGCCCAGCACATGCTTTGTCCTTAAGAAAGACATGGGTCAGGGTGTCCTCTCTTGGCCCATGAGGACATCTTGGTTCTCACCTCTCCCCGACTTCAACCCTCTGGACTCTACAACTAAGGCTTCTTCAGTTTGGTCCATTTTTTTTGTACTAAAACATACCCTCCAAAAAGTGATTATTTGGAGGCTTGTGCAATTTGTTCTCAGCATGTGGGGTCAACAAGGTCTATTCTTAATACCTGTCAGTTGGAAAGAAAAACAATAAAGGAAAAGTGTCCAGTCAGCCTCTTGAATGAAATGTAGGTATCTTAGAACTGTTCCCAATGTGTGTTCCTGGATCTTCTGCCTACTTTCAATCCCCCGGTTTGATTCCAGGACACCCCCATGAGACCTACAGAATGGGAACCTTTAGCTAAAAAGACCAATACTCTACTTTTTAAAATAAGTTTGCAAACTTGAGGCTTAGGAACATTTGGTCATTCTGCCCAAAGACTTGGCCTTTCCTTGAACAGATTTCTTAACAATGAAATCTTGAAAATTCAAAACATTAGCTTTCTTAGTCACCTTCATAGTGGAATTTAATCACAGACAAAACAGATATGAGATAAAGAAGTAAATACTGGCCCAAATATCACTGAATACAAGGCTGATTGCTGGTTATGGTCCTGGAGGACAAACGATTCCTCTGCTTCTGTGTCATTCAGTCCAGTCAACATTGATTATTCCTATGATAGAAAATCAAGGATAGATGATATCACAGAAGAGATAATCGAGGATGTTTCAGGCTGATCTCTGGAATGCATTCAAGGTCACAGTGTGACTCAGGCACTTGGTCTCACTGTGTCCCTAGCTTTGGCTCCTCTTCAGACTCTCACAAACTGAGCAGATAGGAAGGCGTCATGGATGAAAGAGTCCTGTTCAACCCAGATATATTTACGGTAAGTCCCTGTATCCAGTCTTTTAATGTTTTCTCTGTAGGTCTCAGAATTAAAATGCCAGTCTCCAAATGGTCTTCAGTTGATACAAGTATATTCCAGATTGAAATATGAGTTTTGAAGTTTTATTTTGGGAATTAGGCTAGTGAGGTTAAAAACTATGGACTTTGGGCTCAGATAAACTGAGTTCAAATTCAGAATTTGATGGTTAACAACTGAGGACCTTGACCAAAAGGTTTGTCTTCTTTGAGCTTCAGATTTCCCTTATTTTAAATGGCTATAACACTTCCAACCTCATGGATTTCCTAAGAGGATTGGATAAAATAATGTACATGGAAGCACCAAACACAGTTCCTAGCACGCGGTGTACCCTTAGTAAATGCTAGTGCACTTCTAGTTAAGAAGCTGAGTAAACTTCCAACACTTAGCATTATCTCTTCTAGCCAAAGTAAGTTAATCATTGACTGTCAAAACCAGGTCACAGAAGATCTAGGAAACAATAACAAGGTTGTCCTTCAGCTCAGTGTTTTAAAGCAGACTTTGAAATTTTATGACAAGTATGTGTTATGGACATTAAAAAAAAAAACCAATTCCACACCAAAAAATGGGAAGCACATTATCTCAGAAGAAAGAACACTTGACAATGTGAATATTCACACACTCACACACTCACACACAGACACACAAACATGTGCACCACATTTTTGTTTTTCTCATTGGCTACAGATCAGACCAGATTGGACTTGGTCCTGTGTGGAGGCACTGTTCTAGAAGTAGCACCGAATCTGTCTTCTCTGGCTATAGAACACCAGGAGTCAGGGCATCTAGCAACCTTCCATGGGACCCAGCAAGAGAGGCATCATAAACTGCTGGCAAGCCTGTGCCTCCACACTGCCCAGAGGCCAGACATCTCCATGAAACTGGCCTGGCAGCAGTCACAAATTCTAACCACCCTGTGCTAGATTTCTCTGGGCATACAGAGAGCCAGGTACTCTTTCCATTTCATATGTGAAAAAACTGAGACATAAAGAGGTTAAAGGATTTTTCTAATTAATATTGATTCAGTGGTGAAAATAGGACAAGAAAGCATATTTTAAAGCTGGGGCCATTGTTCAAAGAGTTGAGGGCAATCTACCCAACCACCTATCCACTCTGCAGGCAAGACAAACAGAACAAGTAGGGCAACTATAAATCTGCTGGCATCAATCGGCACAACAAAAATAGCACTACGAGTGCCTTTTTTATTCCCAAGAAAATGTGTCATCTATAGCCAATTATTTAAAGAAAAGTTCACGTGCGAGTGACTTTTTTTTTTTTTTTTTTTTAGATATAAACATCAAGGCCAGGTGCGGTGGCTCACTCCTGTAATCCCAACACTTTGGGAGGAATGAAATGGAGGAAGAGGTACGTTCAACTACAGAGGAGGAAACTGAGGCCCAGAGGGGAAAAGTGACTTGATTGACAAAAATTGGATTCTGGTCTTTGTTCTGCCAAAGGTTCGTTGTGAGATGGGAACAAGTTTCAGCCTTACTGTCTCAATTTAATGTTTAAACTATTGTGCTTCACATTCTAAGGACTGCTGTCACCAACATGCTTGCTCAAATGCAAAGCGAAATGCTTTGAATTCATGTAAAGAAAGATTTGTAGTGAGTCAAAGCCTTATTGTTGCCGAATAGTTATAGGCCAAGCTACACTTGGGAGTGATGATATTTTCTACTGCTGGTGCCCGTCCTTCAGGAGTCAGGTGAACACTGCAGGTGGAGATGAGAGGCAAGTTTCACCTGCTCAAAAATGTATGTTTCCCCCATCGATATGTGCCAGGACCTGCAATTCCCACCATCTGTCTCATCTTTGGGTTAAGACAGTGCTTTCATTCATTTGTTCATCCATGTATTTAGCCAACAGTTATTAACCCGAGTCCCTGCTGTGTACCAGGCAGGTACCAGGTGTACAGTGGCACAGTGCCTTCATGAAATCTATCATCCACTGAGGGAGATGTTTGTACTTTCTGGTAAGAGCTATGACGGAAAAGAGAATAGCAGAGGGCTCAATTGGGGGAAGAGACTTGGAAGCTGTTGCTGAAGGGCGGAAAGGAGTTAATAGAGTGCTGAGTGGAGAAGCTTTCTGGGCAGTGGCAGCAGCATTGGCTAGAGGCCAAGGCTGAGGGCAGTGAAGAGCTTGGTGAATTCCAGGAACTGCCCTTGAGGCTGAAACAAAAAACGTGAGAAGGTAAGTTGTTGTAGGAAATAAATTCGAGACTTTAGCGAGGTTGGTATCTGCAGAAAGTAAGTTTTTACCATAAGAATGTTGCCTTGAGTGTGATATATGCAGCCACTGGCTAACTTGGCAGGAATGATTGCCTCAAGTTGACTGGTCTCAGCAGGCAAGTAACAAAGGGTAGATTTGAGGTGGGCAGAAGGAGCAGGGAGGGGACACTGGGAAGAAGCTCCACCCCACCCAGAGGGCCTACGTGTGGAGTGAAGACTGGTGCAGCAAGGAGTGGGAAGCCTGATGGGGTGTGAGCCCCCCACTGACATGGCTGTGTCACTTCCTAGATGGGATTTACTGAGGCTGTCTAAGCAACCACACACTCCATGGGCCTGGTTCTGAAATGGAAGTATAGTCGTGGCATCTTGAAGTTGACCAGGGAGACAGTCTAGTCCAAGTGGCTCATTTTATAGGTTATGACTCTATGACCTAATTCAGGTGAAGTGAAAGCCACAGCTGGTTGTGGTGAGCTTTGAAGGCTGTTCCCCGACTCTCACGCACCACGCCATCTCATCACTGATTGTGAGCATCTCCATGTGGTTGGAATCAGCTCTCAGGGGCAAGTGGGTCATATATGGGGATAGTGGGTGCCCAAGAAACACTTGTCAAAATAATGTGTTTCTCCATATCAGTTTCCTTTAGTTTCTTTTAAAGTGTATGCAGATTGAAGTCTAAACCAGACCACTATAGTCCCACACTCATACGAACTTGTGATTCATCAACATTCTTCCCAGAAATTGCCATTTTACCAGTGTGAAAACAGTATTTTAGATTGAGAATATTTAAGAATATGAAGTACACAAAATGTATCATTACACCCATCAAAGAAATTGACCAGGATCTGAAATAGGTTTCTAAAAAATTAAGAAACTATAGGCATTGAGATCTACAGTATGTTCATTTAGGGGGTGGGAGAAAAATTGGAGCTAGGTGAAGGGGCAAATAATGAATTATTTCACTTCTAGGAGAGACTATATTGAAGAAAAACCTAAAATCAGTATTTTTAACGTCATAACAACAGAGATAATAGATAACAAGTGGATAATAGGAATTAGTAAAATTCTGGCTCTGAACATGTCTTTTTAGAAGTATAAAGATCACTAGAATGTATTAACATACAGTGTGTGTGTGCATGCGTGTGTGTGTGTGTGTGTGTGTATGCGCTCCTGACACATGAGAACGGTGCTGTTTCCATGGCAACGGGGGAAAGTACGTCTTGCTATGAAGCAATCTTCTTAGCTTCAGACACACTTATAAAGATCATGCGCTGGAAGCTGTGAGGGATATATTTGATTCTACTATTCTTTGAGATGAGTCAGGCTGTTGTCCCTGCCTCCCCCAGCCATTCTCCTATGCTGGACCTCCAAACTGAGCTTTGGGTACATTTTTTCAATTGTTTCCCCCCATCCAGCCTAATGACAACCTCCATCACTGTACTATCTACTGTATCCCTTGGGGTTTCTCAAACCTGGCAGTAGGTTATGACAAAGAGCCCCCATTGTCATTGCTCCTGAAGCACTGACTCTGTGTGTGTGTGTATGTGTGTGTGTGTGTGTGTGTGTTGTAGTAGCAGTAGTAGCAGGAGGAGGAGGAGGAGGAGGAGGAGGAAAAGGAAGCATCAGCAAAGAGTTTTACAATGTGAGAAATCTGACTTTATATCCAAGGCTTTTATAGTAGTGGTCCTTGATCTGTAATGTCTGGCTTCCTTTTGAGATAGTTAAAAAAAAAGAGTTTTCGTTTTTAGCCCTTTGGTTTTATTTTTGGACTTGAGGTTCACAAACCTTTCCCTTTCTTCTAATCCCATTTTTGGGTGTAGACAAAGTTCGATATAATAGTAAATGTTCCTTTGCCTTAAGTGAGCAAGTTGATTTCTAAGGCTCTGCCCAGACAGGGGTGATTGTGCCTGGGCTTTTTCTCAAAGACATGTAATGTGATTTCTAGCAGTGGCTTCTGATTAAACTTTTGTTATTTTTAATAATTCTCACAAATAATTATAATGTGGTTTACTTATTTCATTCTCTTGCCTCTTAGTGGCTAGAACTTCCAGAAATAGTGATCCTGATTAATAAGAATGCCTCAACTATTAGGCAAAAACCACAATTACTTTTGTACCAATCTAATATTTAATCATATTTTGAAGAGGCTAAGCTTAGGCCTTTATCCATAGTAGTTTTCTCATAGGAAACTTTCATCATATGCTTTCTTAATCAGGAATCTGGTAATGGTTGCACAACTAGCCACCAGGCAAGCAGGAAGGTATGGACCTTCTATGTGATCTCCTAATATTCAGAACTTAATCCAATGCCAGAGTCCACTTTTAAGAGTGAGCTCCATTGAGGAGAATGCTCCCTTAATATAAAACCATCAATCCTGTAGCTGTTTAGAAAGCAAGATCTTCATTCAGCTGTGAACATTAATGATGGTGTGCACCTCAATAAAGAACACTGTCGGGCTGAATTAAATGACTATAAACTGGGTATACAAAGGAGAATTAGACAGTAGCAGAGTGTTGGCACATAGGAGTCAAGCAGTAAATATTGTTGATGCTCATCTTCTGCCCACACCCACCCATGATAAAAGAACAAGTGATGATCCACTGAGTCTTAGCAGCAAAACACTTCCTGTGCTATATAGAGAAGGTAAAAAAAACACCAAGCCAACGACAACTGCCTATGTACAACTCATCTTCCTTTAGAGAGATGTTAATCAAGTTCATCTAGCCACTTTGTTCTCCACATTAGCATGTAATAGATGAAACCTAGAAGAAAATCCATTTTTCTTAGGATTCTCATAATCACAAAGTGTTTGTAGTCATAGGAATCAGGAATGATCCCCATTATTTTACTTCCTTTTCTCCCATTATTTGTATTTCCCAATGGAGTAAAACAGGGTTCAGCTTGGAAAACAAAGAAGCAATGGTTCTTAAAATACTGTTAACTCTGTCTGGACTGTACTCACAGCACAGTCACAAGGGCAAAGTCATAAATGATGTGGCTTTGTTAGTGAGGCTTGCTTTATTTTTGTGAATACATTGAATTTAATGAAATAAGGAACAACAACAGGAATGTATGTTTTCTAGTTTTCTTATTTTCATGGTTTCTATTGGGTCTAAGTATAGTTCTTTCCTAGCTAGCACTAATTTTCAGTATTCTAAGTCACTATTCATAAAATCCTATGTTCTGTTCCTCCATTATGAAAACAGCTTTATTAACTCTAGGTTTTTTGAACCTCCAGGTTTCAGTTGATTTAATGACTTGGTAGTCTTGTGGCTCTACATTCAAAACACCCACAGAATCTGACCACTTCTTACTACCTTCACCACTGCCCGGCCTGAGCCAGCATTATCTCTTCCCTAGATCACTGAAGTGGCTCTGACCTAGTCTCCGTGCCTCCACCCTTGCTACGTTAAAGTTCATCTCAAAATAGCATTCAGAGTGGTTCTTTAAACACAAAAACCAGAACAGGCCATTCCTCTGCTCAGAGCCCTGCCAGGGCGCTCCATTTCACTCAGAGTCTTCACAGTGACATGCGGGCACACCGTGACTAGGTCCTCACCATGCTGTGACCACATCTCTATTGCTGTCTCTTCCTCACTCACAGTTCTAGCCACGTTACCCTCTTGCTGTTCTTTCAACATGCTGGGCACTGCCTCTTCCCTCTGTCTGTAATGCTCTTCCCTATATGTGGACTTAGTTACTTCCCTCATTTCCTTCCATTTTTGTGTTTGAATGCCACCTTCTTAATGAGACCTCTCTTGGCCACTTTATTTAAAAGTGTACCCTGTCTACCCCCACTCCAACATTCCTGGTCCCCTTTACTATGCTGTAAGTTTTCTTTCTTCCATAGAGTATATCACTTGCTAATATACCATGTGATTTTCTTAAATATATCCTGTTTCTTGTCTGCCTGCTCCAGTAGAACGTAAGTTCCAGGAAGGCAGAGAGCTTTGTTCACTGATGTACCCCAAACACAAAACAGAACCTGGCATGTAGTGAGCACTCAGGAAATACTGAAATATTTGTTGAATGAATGAATGCATCACCAGTGTCTAGAGCTATTCCTGGCACACAGTAGGTTCTTAATACTGGTTGAGTGTCTCTCCCTGGGGGACAAACAGGACTAAGTGTCAAAGAGACCCAGGCCACATAGCATAGTGATTCAGAAGACCACAGGCTCTGCCTCAGCTGGAGTGGCTGTGTCCTACTGGTATGACCTAGGCTGTTTACTTAACCTCTCTGAACCTCAGTTTTCTCATCTGCAAATTGGGAGTGATGTGTCCCTCCCTTACAAGGTGTTATGAGAATTAAATATGGTCATTTGGATAGTAAGTCTGGTAAATGCTCAATAAATTTGAGCCATTATTATTATCATTATGACATCTTATTCTTTTACCTCTTTTTTTTCAGGGAAATAACTTCCATGTCTGTTCTTACCCATCAGGATTATTGGGAGGAAAAATATACAACACCGTAAATGAAAACCATTTTGAAAACCTTATACCACTCTCCGGATGCTGGGGATCAGCTGCACATGTAAGGGGTGCCCCCTGGACACTATTGACTCATTGCTCTGGGAAGTCTACAGGTTGTGGGAAACAGTCTTAAGTTCTGAAAAAGAAAATTGCACTGGCTCTAATCAATAGCTAGGATGCCTTCAGAGATGCCCCTTCCCCGTGGCATCATGGAGGCGGGAGGAGGGCCAGGCTACATTTCAAAGCCCCCCTCCTTCTCTTCCCTCTTTTTCCCTAGGCTGCCAGAATCTTAGACTGTAGTGCAAGAACAACCATATTGCTGGAAGTGAAATTTGCAGTCTGCTCTATCAGATGGTTTCTGCGCATGGTCTGTTACTATGTTCAAAGCATTAAACTGCCTGAAAGTGGATTATTTACAGAGCTTCTCTCTTCCCAGAGCTGCTGATAGGTGGCAATTCAGCCTCTTCACCCTAATGCACACTTCCTCACTTTCCACCGAGACTCTTTGTTTGCTGACAGCATCTGGCTATCCTGGGTACTTGCCTCAGCTGGCACAGTTCTCTCCAATCCCTAGAAGAAACAGCCTTCACCTACACACCAGGGATGAAATAAGATTTCAGCTCAAAGCTAGCAACCTTTCTCTGAAATGGTGTCACACCCAGACAGAAAAATAAATGTGCGTTTCTTCTTAGATGATGATAAGTCAGTCTTTCAGGCAGACTTTTGACACAGGGAGGATCAAGGTTTGACTGCCTTTGAGTAATCCTTGTAGAAAAAACAGCACCTAATTGGACAAAGGAAGAAAGGAACCAGCTGCTACTGTCATAATTATTTAAGCACCCATCCACAGTCAAAAACACTGCATTGTTTCCTTACAAGTGAAATTTGATTGCCACTACATTTCCTGCTGGCCTCCCCTCTATGCAAATTGGGGAGAAGAAAGAAATTCATAAGGCATCAGAACCCATTTGGCTTCTAAATGTACTGTTTGCATATAGACATCAGCAGCCTGAATAAATCCTAGCAAGGAATGTCAAACAAACAACACTGGCTATTTTTCTATTGTTCTCCCTGAAAACATCATTTTTAACACATTCACAAAGGCAAGCTGGGTTCTGTTTTATCGGTGTTTTAGTAAAAGACAAGTGGCATGGTGGTTCAGTTGTGGGTATTGGACATTAACGAAAACCATCCTGGGAGAGTTCAGTTTATAAAAGATTAAAATAATTCATCGACTTGCAAAAAAATTGTTCTAACCCTCTCTGTTGACAGTCAATGTTTGTGCTGGGGGCTGAGTATTATATAATAATTTGCACAGCAGTTTATAGTGCCTAAAACATTTCTGCCTTGGGTCTGTCAGAGGACATGCCCAAGGATGCCATGAGTGAGGCAAGGGCAGTTTCCTTATCCTCATCCTGCAGATGAGAAAGCCAGATCTTAGAAAGATGGGGACTTTTTATTGTCACAGAACATGTCCCACCCCTGGGCATTCACCTTGCAATGCAGATTCCTCCTCATCCTTCGAAGCCCAAATACATCTCCCCTTTTCTGTAGTTATTTCCTGTTCCCTCCACCCCCGCTGCCACCACCACCACTGCAGAGGAAATTGTTAATTCATTTATCCAGAATCGGTGAAAAACCACCGTGTCATGGGAGGAGATGCAGCAATGTCAAGGTCATCGTGGGTCCCGTGACAAGGTGAAATCTCTCCTCAAGGGAAGCAAAGATGGAGACAGTGCCCTTGTATAACACAAACCCAACTGGGCTCTCTCTGTGAGCTCAAACTGGGAACCTTAAGATGGAGAAGAGCCAGCTGGGGTTCTTCTGCATGGGAGCCTGCCTCTGCCACAGCCCCTGTATCTGCTGACAGCATCTCTTCTGCTGCTTCTCCACAATGTGAGACACTCGAGAACAGGGACCATTTCTCTACCAGGGACCAGTGAAAGCCTAGCACAGGATGGTGACCTGTCATTGCTTCCTGAATGCACCTCTAGCGTAGTGATCCTGCCAGGTCACCAGAAAACAAGGCCAGAGCTCACAGGTCTAACTCCTGACTTGGCACAACTTCTTCCCTAGGCTGCCTTATGGTGATAACAGAAACAGCCCATCTAGAGTGGCTGCTGCCAAGACACTGGCTGTAGTGGGAAGGTGTGGCTGGGTCTCCCACTCCAGGGAGCAGGCAGGAGCCCCACTCCCCCCAGTGTTGCTGCAACTGCACCAGGGCGTCTCTGTGCCTTGGGGGCCCAGGAAGGCCCCCTGCCCCCAACAGGCTTGGAAGTGCCTGCTCCCATTGCCTGACCTCTCCCTGCTCCCAGTGCCTGCTCTGATTGTAGAGCAAGGTTGGGGCTGAGCCTGGGTACTGTCCCAGCCAGGCCAGGTGGATGCATGCTCAGGACAGTGCTGACACGCCAGCCTCCTGCTCCCTCAGCCCCCTCTGGACTTTGGGTGCCAACGAGCATGGGAGGGAAGCTGAGGCAGGGGATGAGGGCAGTTCAGCACTGGCCTGCAGGCACCCCTTGGGACAAACAGGCTGGACACCAGGAAGAGCAGGGGGAGGCAGACAGGTTCCTGGGCAGAAGGGATTGGGTCCCTGGTGAAGCCCCACCTTCAGCCTGGGAAAGTCCTAAAGCCTGGGGGCCAGGCCGCCAGTCCTGCTGACCAGAGGGGGAAGGCAGGGTGCTTTACCCTGGGCCCACCTATGGCTGCCCATTGACCAGTCAGCATGCACTCCCCCACCTCTGAAGACCATAAAAACCCCAGACTCAGCCAGAGCAGAGCAGACTTCTGGATGACCAGCTGCAAAGAGGAGCTAGCCTCTCCAGGGCCTCCTCTCCGCTGAGAGCAGCAGACATCCAGACAACCAGCTGCAGAGAGAAGCTAGGGCCTGCTCTCAGCAGACAGAAACTACCCTCTCTGCTGAAAGCTGAACACTCATTGGGACAACTTGCCTGCAGAGAGGAGCCACTCACTCCAAGCCTTTGCTGAGAGGTGCAGAGGTGATGAGATGACCTGCTTGCAGAGAGGAGCTACCCACTACTGGTTTCCTCTCAACTGTTCTACCACTCAATAAAGCTCCTCTTCAACTTGCTCACTCTCCACTTTTCTGCATATCTCATTCTTCCTGGATGCAGGACAGTAACTCGGGCAAAGGCACCACTGGCCACAGAGGTTTCTGGCCAGAAAATCAACACCCCTAACGATAGTAGCTACACTGTGACACATTCTGCAACACCCTCCTCCCACCACATTTAAAAAAAAAAAGAGCTGGGGGCAATAAAGTTAATAACAGCTAATACACAAAAGGTCTTATTACACGTCAACCCCCACCCTTGGTTACACACACATATCGCCTTAAAAGCCCCCCTGAGCTAGGCACTAATGTTCCCTTGTTCTGTGGATGAGAAAACTCACATAAAGATGTTTAGACCACACAGTTAGTATACTGATGGTAATTCAAACCTGTGCCCTTAACCTCAAAGAAATTTAACAAGGTCAGAACAACCCAAAAGCTAAAATTTTCTTATCTAACTATCCAGAGATGCTTTCCTGGCCATAAGTCTCTATATGAGATGGACTCTATATGAGATGGTACAGAGCTACTCAAAGCTGGTCAGGAAACCATCACCAGTCTATGATGGGATAAGAACAGAAATTGAGAGTAAATGTTTAAAAACCTTTATGGCAACTTGATATTGCTGCTGTATCCAAGGGCGTGATCAGTGGACTTATCTTGTTCAACAGGATAGTGACTCTTTGGATGGTATGAACTTGAATGATGAACTGCCAGTAGTCTGGGCTATGTACTAGTATTAGTCTGCAATAGATTGAAAAATTTCAGAACTTGATTCTCTATCCCAGTTTGAGAAACACTAACACTATAGTTCTATTTCAGTTACCTTGGGAGTAGAAGATGGAAAAAGTAGTCCTGCAAGAGCTAGGAGAGTTTTGTCTAGTCTCTTTGCTATTACCTAGCTGGGTGACCTGACAACTTCCCGTCTGATAATTGTAGAGTGAGGGGCTTACACTAGATTCTAAGTCCCTTCTGTGCTGTGGCACACTGATTTGTTACCAGAGTAAATCATTTCTTAATCTCTGCTTCCTCTGATACTGTTTGGCTTTGTGTCCCCACCCAAATCTCACCTTGAATTGTAATAATCCCCACATGTCAAGGGCAGGATCAGGTGGAGATACTTGAATCATGATGGGTGGTTTTTCCCGTGCTGTTCTCGTGATAGTGATTTATTACGAGATCTGGTGGTTTTAATAAGGGGCTTCCCCTGCACTCGGCATTCATTCTCTCTCCTGCCGCCCTTTGAAGAGATACCTTCCGTCATGACTGTAAGTTTCCTGAGGCCTCCCCAACCAACCATGCAGAACTGTGAATCAATTAATCCCCTTTCTTTCTTTATGGCAGCATGAGAATGAACTAATACATCCTCTATATAACAAAATTATTTTCAGCAGTAATCATGTAATAATCAGAAATGAGCACAATCTTCTTGATCTTTACTCTGAAAACAAATGATTTTAAAAGAATAATTTCCTTTTAAAAGATCACTCAAACGTGCTCAAATAAATACCATACCTCACAGTTCATGCTCTGTTAGCCAATTTAAATTTAAATATAATAGAAATAAAATTTCCCAAAGTCACACAGAATTGAAGTAACTCAAATTCCATGTTTTTGTGTTTACAGTCACTAAGTCTGTGTTGTTGATTGAGTCTGCTGTTTGAATGCAGGAATGTGAAGAACTGCTCAAGTTGGAGACACAAATTGAAGCCAGCCCCAGTTCAAAACTGTTACAAATAGAGGCTGCAGGCATGAGGGGCTGACTATATAACTCGAAGTTCTCCAGTACCTTACTTTAATAGAGAACACAATCTTTATTAAAATATAAGTAATAAAAATCTGCTGATGTGCAACTTATGGATCTATTATTAAAACTCAACAGTCATTGTAGCAATGTTTAGAACTTAAGCGAACAAAAGTTTTGTGAGGGGGCAATTTTACCAATGACATTGTTTAGAAATGTTGGGAGATGGTGATCATAAAAAGCAGATCAGTGTTTTATTTCACTTGGGTTTTTACAAATTATTTTTTTAAATTCTATACAGACAATGAACCCTCTTAATTCCTGAATATAGAGAAGGCCCCCCATGCCCAAACCCACTCTTGGTATGCTGCTGCTTCCAGTTATAATTAGTTGGTATACTTTAGGGATTGAAAAGGATTTGATTTTAAAGAGTTTCAACAGCAATGCACTTGCTCTTTTGGTTCAGTAGGTTTACTTCTGGGCCAAGGGAAAAAAAAAATCCAATCAATATTAATAATAGCTAACACTTACTGTGTGCATACTTTGTGCTGGGCTCAGTGCCCAGTGCTTTGTGTATATTACTTCTTTCTTTCTTCCAAATGTACCTCTAGGAGATAAGTCCTATTCTTATCTCCAGTTTACAGACAGGGGAACTGAAGCTTAGAGAGGCCAGGTAACATCTCCAAGGTCATACAACTAGTAAGTGGTAGAGGGGAAATCTGGACCAAGTGGCCTGATTTAGGGCCTATGCTCTTCACCTCAAAGTTCTGCTGCCTTCCACTCTGTGTCTACTTGCCACATACTCGTCAAACAGAACAGAGCACACCACAATAGAATAGTGACTCTTTGGGGGCATCTCTTCAGGGCCAAGAACTGTAACTACGCTATCATATTCAATCCTCACAACAGCCCTGCTAGGCAGGCATTTAGTACCTCCCTTTTCTAGTAAGACTTGGAATCAACCCAAATGTCCATCAGTGACAGATTGGATTAAGAAAATGTGGCACATATACACCATGGAATACTATGCAGCCATAAAAAAGGATGAGTTTGTGTCCTTTGTAGGGACATGGATGCAGCTGGAAACCATCATTCTTAGCAAACTATCACAAGAACAGAAAACCAAACACCGCATGTTCTCACTCATAGGCGGGAACTGAACAATGAGATCACTTGGACTCGGGAAGGGAAACATCACACACCGGGGCCTATCATGGGGAGGAAGGAGCGGGGAGGGATTGCATTGGGAGTTATACCTGATGTAAATGACGAGTTGATGGGTGCAGCACACCAACATGGCACAAGTATACATATGTAGCAAGCCTGCACGTTGTGCACATGTACCCTACAACTTAAAGTTTAATAATAATAAATAAATTTAAAAAAAAAAGAAAGCTAAAAAAAAAAAAAAGAAAATAACATTCAGCAAGGTT